CCCCGTCCTCCCCCGCCCCCCCGGTGCTGCCTCCCGGTGTCACCGCGGGTGCCGCCCGTCACCCCCCCGGTGACCCCCGTGAGCCCCACGACAGCCAAGAACCCCCCGGGGGGTCTCACCCCCACCTCCAAATGAGGCGTCCCCCCCTTAGACCTCCCCAGACCGCCCGGGACACCGGGCGAACACCGGGGGAACACCGGGGGAACACCGGGGGGACACGGCGGAGGGGGGGGGTTTAATCCCACACCCATCCTCTGCCGCAGCGGAGTCAACCGGGAGAGGGGGGGGGGGTCACTCTCACGAGCCCCCGGGGCGGCTGCACCCCTCGAGCCCCGCTCCGCACCGGGGGGATGTCACGGGCTCCCCCACCCCGGTGCGGCGCGGCCCCTTTAAGCGAAGCCCCGCCCACCTCCGCCATTAACCCCCTGGCCCCGCCCCCCGCCCTCATCGTGGGCGAGGCCATTTTGGAAGCGCTGGTCACGTGGTTCCGCACCACACACACCCCCCTCCGCAATATTGGCGCCTTTCCTTCGTCACGTGACCGCGGCGGGTCCTTCCCCTCTCTGAGGGAGCGCTAGGGCCGCCATCTTAGAGTCGGGAAAGGGAGAATTTGGGGGGGAACCTGAGGGGTCTGGGGGGCGCCTGAGGCGTCTTGGGGGCACCTGAGGGGTCTGAAGGGCATCTTAGGGGTCTGGAGGGCATCTGAGGGGTCTGTGGGGCGAGACTGGGGTTTCCAGCGGGCTCTGGGCTCTGCAGGGCAGGACTGAGGGGCGCTGTGGCCGCCATCTTAGAGTCGGGAAAAGGAGAATTTGGGGAGCACCTGAGGGGTCTGGGGGGCACCTGAGGGGTCTAGGGGCCTTCTGGAGGGGTCTGTGGGGCGAGACTGGCGTTTCCAGTGGTGTCTGGGGTCCACAGGGCAGGACTTGAGGGGCGCTGTGGCCGCCATCTTAGAGTCGGGAAAGGGAGAATTTGGGGGCACCTGAGGGGTCTGGGGGGCACCTGAGGGGTCTGGGGGCATCTTGGAGGGTCTGTGAAGCGTCTTGAGGGGTCTGTGGGGCGAGTCTGGGGTTTCCAGCAGGGTCTGGGGTCCTCAGGGCACTGGGGGCTCTGTAGAGTCGGATGGGGGCACCTGGTGGGGGGGGGTCCCTGGGTTCCCACCCAGCTGAGTGTGAAATGTAAATTTTAAGGAATTTAGAGATTTTAGAGGAGCTAAGGTTTTAGTTAGAGGTGAGAAAAATGCATGTGTTATGATTGGCTTTTCAAAAGTATTACAATGAATATTATATGTGTAATGTTAGAAAGTGAGGCTGTATTAATTCTCTTAAGTGGTGTGTTAAATATAGTTTTAAGTTCCAATAGAATGTTAAAATGGAGATTATGTATGTAGGGATAAGTTGGGGGTTTTTTTAAGAATGAGATACTCACTTCGAAGAACACCTAAATCTTCCAAAAGAAAAGAATTTATGGCTTCTGGCTTCTTATCAAAACAAACTAATTTCTTCAAGCCTTACTCAGACTCGAAGATGCCATGGGATTAAAAAAAAAAAACAATTGACGTACAACAAACAGAGTTTCTTGTTTTAAATAGAATATATGCATAACCATGAAAGATATATAAATATGCAACAAGCATATTGTTTTAAGGGTAATTCCTTTATTCACAAAGTATGCTTTTCATGACTTAGTGTCCAAAAGCATCTAGACTTGGTTTATAAAATTTTAAAAGTTTAATAATAATAAAATGGTTATAAAAATAATCATACAATTAGAGTAATAAAGTTTAGAGTTAGGACAATTACAAGACGATAAAAAGCAAAGAATTACGGACGTCCAGATGCTCTCGGACACGAAGTCACAAAAAGCATGACTTGTAAAGAAACAAATAACCTTAAAAACAATGGCCTGTTGCATATTCATATATCCTTCATGGTTATGCATACATTGTATTTAAAACAAGAACTCTGTTGTATGTCAACTCTTTGTTTAATCCCCAAGGCGTCTTCCAGTCGAGCAAGGCCTGAAGAAATTCGCTTCTTCTGATAAGAAAACCATAAATTCCTTTTTTTTTTGGAAGATTTAGGTGTTCCTTGAAGCGAGTATCTCATTCCTAAAAAAAAAAAACACTGCCCCACACATATACAATCTCTATTTTAACATTATGTTGGAACCTAAAACTACATTTAACACACTATTTAAGAGAATTAATACAACATCACTTTCGAACATCACAGATATAATATTCATTGTAACATCTTCGAAAAGCCAATTGTAAAATCTGAATTTTTCACAGTAGGGTTGGGGGTGCCGGGGGGCACCTTGGGGAGAGCCTGTGAGGGAGAAGGGGGCACCCGGAGGGTCCTGAGGGAGTCTGTGGGGAGGGTTGGGGGGATCACGGGGCACCTCAGGGGTCTACAAGACAAGATTGGGGGGTCTTAGGGCATCTGGGGGGTCTGTAGGGCTTGGTGGTCCCCAGAGGGTCAGTGGGGTGACCCCGAATCCCAGGAACATTCTGTCAGGACAGAATGGGGGTCCCAGCGCTGGCACCAAGCTCAGCCGGGGGGACAGGGACAGCACGGGGGTGGCACAGGGTCTTGGGGACCCCCCCGCTCCATGCTGTCCCACTCAGTGTCCCCCCAAATGTCCCCTCCCCGTGATGGTCCCACCACAGTGTCTACCCCGGGGTGTTCCCCACGTGTCCCCCACAAGTGTCCCCCTCATCTCCCCTCCCCATTGTCCCCCCTCATATCCCCCTGCGTGTCCCCCACATTTCCCCCCCGTATTCCCCCTGGAACCCCCCCAAACACCCCAGGGCTGTACCCCCTGGATAGAGCCCCCCCAAACACCCCAGGGCTGTCCCCCC